GCACAGTGTCCGAAGATTCTTTGCACTGCAATCAAGATAATAGCAGATATAAGGTAAATGAACCTCCGATGTAGATATGGAGGAATCAAGATTCCAGTTTCCAAGGTTAAGCTGGGTAAGATTCGTTAGGAAACAGAACAAGTGAATCCTTTCGCGGGGTCTGTCATGTGATGACCCGCCACTGGAGTTTTTGGTCATCTGACCGAGGCCTTCCATTGGCTTACAAGTCCACCCCTTTATAAAATTAATATATATGACACAAGCAGAATCTACATATAGTAAGTGTGGCATGAAACTGCCGAGGAACAGTCGTGTATATTAAGAAAAGGGGTAAGCTTGATTATAAGCTGCGATATGTTTGTAACAATCTAATTGAATAAGAGTTCCACAGTGGGAGCGTCCGTAATGTGCAGCTAACCTCTTCCATGTGGGAGTAAGAGACAGCGAGTTGTATTTGGAGTAAATTTGAGTACATTAAGTTATGAGCAAATTAGGGTAAGTTAAATCAAGAGTAAATTACGGAAAGATTAGTTATGAATGTATTAACTTTGGTGATTTGGTCTATTAGGATTAAAGCCTATGGACTCATGAGGGTCAGTAAGGCTGCATGTCACCTGTGCACCACCAAAAATGCTTTAAGAAGAGGTTCCATGATACCGGTGACGAGGCTCAATTATTGATCTAAGTATATGTATATGTACATATATGTATATGTATCTTATGATCTAAGTAATTGGTCCTCTGATTCCCTTCCTTAGAATGAACCTGAATGTTCCCTCTCATTATTCCCCGGGCGCTGTCTAGCCCCTAGGGGCTTAGGCTAGTAAGGTTTGTCAGGAAACAAGACAAGAGTTTCCTGACGCTTGTCTTAGTCATGATGATGACCCGCAGCTGGAGCTTTTCAGGTCGTCTGACCGAAGCCTTCCTCTGGCTTACCCGTCCACCCCTTTAAAAATTATAGTTGTTATGACAAGTTTAACATTCCCCACTTGAACATAATGATGATAATTATTCAGTTTCATACATAAGAAATAAATTAAACGTAAGGAATGTGTAAACACACCGAGATATATAATGGTCCAAACATACATATATATTGCTGCTCTCAGGGCATACACAACGAGAGAGACATACAGTGAGTTAGCTTATAAAAATCTCAAATGAACAAATAAAAATTATTTAATTTCCTGCAAAACACTACCGAGAAAGAGACTAATTGACTCTCAACAATTAATTTTATTTTTCACTAGTTTTTCTTTTTTTCCGGCTTTCTTTGCGTCTCGATCTCCATTATGCCCGCCTGTCTTTTGCCTTCTGGCTTTATTTGCTATCTGTGTTTACTTTCTTTTTCTTTTTTTTTTTATCCCAGTTTCCGCGCTGTTGGCACATGAACGAGGCTTTTTGTTTGGCATACAGCGAACTCTTTCTTTCTTTATATATATCTCTCTCTCTCTCTCTCATGCTTTCATGCTGTTAGTTCCAAGGTGTTGGAGCTACCCTCCTATGTCTTAGATTTGGATCAAAGCTAATTACTAATTTCAAAATGTTCTGTTCTTCTAGCGGGCTGGTCCAGTGCCCTGGCGTGGAGAGTTCAGAGTGCCGAGTGCCCTGGCGTGGGGAGTTCAGAGTGCCGAGTGCCCTGGCGTAGAGAGTTCAGAGTGCCGAGTGCCCTGGCGTGGAGAGCTCAAAGTGCCGAGTGCCCTGGCGTGGAGAGCTCAAAGTGTCGAGTGCCCTGGCGTGGAGAGTTCAGAGTGCCGAATGCCCTGGCGTGGGGAGTTCAGGATGTCCAGCGAACCTTACCAGAATTTCCAAAGTAGTGATTTGTTTTTCCATTCTGTTATCAAAACCGACCGCTTTGTTGCTTTCTGGCTTTAACCGCCTTCTTATAAATCAAATGATAATTCTGATACTTTTACTGTAACTACTGAACATGAAAGTAACCATTTATAGGACTGACGAACACATGTAAAGCCGAGAGGTACTGGAATGAGGGCGACGTGTCGGCCAGGCTGCAAGATTCTCTGCCAAAATTATTTTTGGACACGTATCTTCACCAGGTGCTAGATCAACCTGGCTGTGATGGATATGTGGGGCAGCGGGCCTCCAGCAGCAATATCCTGGTTGACCAGGCAAGCACCAGACGAGCCTGGCCCATGGCCGGGCTCCGAGAATAGTGAAACTCTCGAAACTCTTCAAAGGTATATCAAAGGTATACAATAGGCAGAACAAGCTTTTGCTGGGATGTTTCGCTCGAGATAAAGCTTTACCATGAGCGAAACGTTGTCTTAATAAAAGTTTGTTATGCATAGTGTGATAAAGAATTAAACACATGTGCAACATCTGGATATCTTTTTCTGTAGACGTTTCTCCATCCAGTGGCTTTATCAATACAAGTTCGAGGATACGATGTGAAGACTGTAGTCTTCAAGACTACGGTGCTCTTCATCAACTCCAAGGCTGAGGGACTGATTACCTCATCTTTTTGTATACAGTTCTACAGTCTTCACAACGTATCCTTGAACTTGTATTGATAAAGCCACTGGATGGAGAGACGTCTACAGAAAAAGATATCCAGATGTTGCACATGTGTCTAATTTTCATCTTGTCTGTATTGTATACAATTCACGTACAGTTCTGCAAAGTGTTTTCCTTTGAATCTGTGGGCTCTATTTCAGTGCTTTTAAACTACAATTATTTATCAAAAATGTGCCCAATTTTCTCAATCACTGATGGCAGAAAAGTCAACTAGTGAACTTAACTACCGTAATTATAAGCAACTTGATCCCTTATTGCCACCGCCTACACCAAACACAACAGAGGATCAGGTAATGCGATCAGATCCTCCACTGAGCGGTCTTTCCCGGCTGGAAAGTTTGTGCAAGGCTACCCGATACTCTACTGTCAAGTTCAGGGTGCCGAAAAATTCCGGAGTTCCCTCTTGATTATCAGTAGAAGTGATGTTTTTAATATTTTTTTTATTTTCTAGAAGCAGTATGGTCCACACAAGCATGACTCTTACTTTTAACGTAATAATAAAGTATAAAAACAGCAATAATAAAATATATCCACTAAAAGACTCACGAAAGTAGTTAATGAGTTGTAAATTACGTATATTCATACATAACTCGAAAAGTATGAAAATTCCTTCTGGTAGGGGGTAGTGGTAGCTTGATGCTGGTTCGACACCATGCCCAGCCCTTCTAGGGTAGGGTAGGTGCCTGAGCCCGAGCTTGCAGCTCACAAGACTGTCATTCCCATTAGCCCCCTTGGGGCGGGGATGGCAGACCAGAGAGGCCTAGCTTGTGGCTAGGCCTGGGGACAGTTGGTCCCAAAGATGAGGAGGTACTTGTACCTCCTCCCATGGCGGACTTAGGTCTCAGACACTCCCTAAAGAGGGAGCCAAGGCCGGGCCACCACTTGGAAAAGGCCCGGGCCGGGAGATTACCGGCGAATCTTTAATAATAATAATTGATGCTGGTGAAGGGCTCTTGATACAGGAAACTGGAGCTATCCTACCCTTGGATTAAACTTGATTACCTCCCATGGCTCAGTCGCCGTATAACCATTGCGAGTTTAGCGCTTCCCCTGAATCTAATGTTAGTACACCATATTTATGTAGTTACTTAATACTTGATTTGTTTCTGTCTCATTAAATCTTCATAGCATCATACATACAGAACAATGACTGCATCTTCAAAGCATCATACTTGTAATTGTAAGTAGCATATCAGTGTAACTACGTTTAGTCAATAATGGAAACAGTGTATTATTTTACGTCACTCTGAACCCAGTACCCGGCGCACCTCACTACGGTGTCATATGACTAATTAAGAGGCGGCGTTGATGGACTGTAGACGTGCTGCTTATTCTGAGTAAAATGCCTGGTTTTACTGTTTTTAAGGCCTGGAATCCACCTGATTTAACTTGAGAATTTCATGTTTTCCCCATTCTCTCTCAGCAGGAAACTTTATTTCTTTCTTTTCTAATTTCCACCTATGCATATTCGGGCAATATACATTTCCCACATTCTTGGAAAGTAGGATACTGTAGGGCCTAGGTTTTGGTAGCCCCTGGCATCAACAATAACATAAAACCGTCAGGGGATTTTGGACTTTATTTGCGCTTTCTTGCTGGCCTCAGGGTGCACTGAGGACATATAATACGCATCGTTACTAGTCAACCAGGCCGCGGTAACTCGTGGTCTAGTGGCAAAAGCTCTCGCTTCATACGCTGAAGGTCCGGATTCGATTCCCGGCAATGGCGAAAACATTGGGCGTGTTTCCTTATACAAGTTGTCCATGGTCACCCATCAGTAAAAATGGGTACCTGGGTGTTAGTTGACTGGTGTGGGTCGCATCCTGGGGCAAAATTGACCTAATTTATCCGAAATGTTCTGAACATTAAAATGGTATAAAATACCGACAGGTTGTTAGGTAAGACACATATGCAACAGTTAGGTATCTTTATTTCGAAACGTTTCGCCTACACAGTAGGCTTCTTCAGTCGAGTACAGAAAAGTTGATAGAAGCAGAAGATACTTGAAGACGATGTAATCAGTCCATCACCCTTAAAGTTTTGAGGTGGTCAGTCCCTCAGTCTGAAGAAGAGTATTGTTCCATAGTCTGAAACAATATTGTTTCAATTTTCAATATTGTCTTCAATTATCTTCTGCTTCTATCAACTTTTCTGTACTCGACTGAAGAAGCCTACTGTGTAGGCGAAACGTTTCGAAATAAAGATACCTAACTGTTGCATATGTGTCTTACCGAAATGTTCTGCATAACAAGCGGCTTACTCTATAGTCGTATATGATTGATGTCAGCTAGGGCTGTATACCTTATACATGTACTTGCAGAAATAAAGATATTATTATTATTATTATTGTTATTATTATTATTGTTATTATTATTGTTATTATTATTGTTATTATTATTATTGTTATTATTATTGTTATTATTATTATTATAACTTCTTTAAACTTAGGTAGAGGTGGCCCGATGGCCTGGTGGCTAAAACTCCCGCTTCACACACGGAGGGCCCGGGTTCGATTCCCGGCGGGTGGAAACATTTCGACACGTTTCCTTACACCTGTTGTCCTGTTCACCTAGCAGCAAATAGGTACCTGGGTGTTAGTCGACTGGTGTGGGTCGCATCCTGGGGGACAAGATTAAGGACCCCAATGGAAATAAGTTAGACAGTCCTCGATGACGCACTGACTTTCTTGGGTTATCCTGGGTGGCTAACCCTACGGGGTTAAAAATCCGAACGAAATCTTATCTTATCTTTTCCGGACACTGGAAGACAGGGCTCGATACGGCGTAAGCTGTCAGTGGCCCTGTAAATCCCAACAACAACAACATGGATAGATGTGCTGGCGTTGCTGTACTAAGTTTATATACATCTAGGTACACATAAGTATAATTATCATACATAGTAACATGTGTGTAAATTACCTAGGATAATCCCCCCAAAAGAAAGTCAAAGTGTAACGTTGACTTCTCGCTCTACCACTGGTTTGAGCATCAGTGTCAAATTTCACGGTTTCCTTTCCCTGGGCCCCTCAAGGAAGGTTTCTTGATGTTGGTGAGGGGCTCTTGATTTAGGGAATTGGATCTGTGCTCCAGTTCCCCGAATTAAGCCTGAATGCCTTCCACATCCCCCCCCCCAGGCGCTGTATAATCCTCCGGGTTTAGCGCTTCCCCCTTGATTATAATAATAATAATCCTTTCCCTGGGACGTTTGTCCTGGTATACTGGGACCTGTCGTTCGATTGATAAGATAAGATTTTGTTCAGATTTTTAACCCCAGAGGGTTAGCCACCCAGGATAACCCAAGAAAGTCAGTGCATCGTCGAGAACTGTAACTTTTTTTTCCATTGGGGTCCTCAATCTTGTCCCCCAGGATGCAACTCACACCAGTCGACTAACACCCAGGTACATATTTGCTGCTAGGTGAACAGGACAACAAGTGTAAGGAAATGTGTCGAAATGTTTCTACCCCGCCGGGAATTGAACTCGTGCCCTCCATGTGTGAAGCGAGAGCTTTCCCAGCCAGACCACGGGGTCACCCCAGTGCACTTAGCTCACATACTGAGTGTCCAGGATTCAGTCCCTGGTATGGGTGGAAACATTGCTCATGTTTCCTCACACCTGCCTGTCCCTGTTTACCTAGCAGTATGTATGTAACTGGGAGTTAGTCAACTTATGTGGGTCGCAGCCTGAGGGACAAGATTGAAAGACCCCAATGGAAATAAGACAGACAGTTCTGCATAATACACTGAATTTATTGAGTTATCCTGGATGGCTAACCTTTCAGATTAAAAATCTGAACAAAATCTTTTTTTTTTTTAATCTTATATTACACACTGCTGGGTGCTATAGTTCAGCTTCCTCTAGGCTCGGGAAAAGCTAGATGTTTTGATTCAGGTGTAGGAGGTGTCTGGCTCTGCCAGGATTTAGGCAAGGGAATTCACCTGACCTCACTGGGAATTTAATACTTCTGTTCCTCTTTCCAGAGGAAACATTAGTGGTCCTTAAAAAACGCAATATCACTCTTTCATCACATCATTTGTGCAGTATCACAAACTTTTTCCCCCTCAACAGTAAATGTGCATATCGTTGTTTATTATTCTGCGTTAAATCAGGTTAGGTTAGATTAGGTCAATTATTATTATTATAATCAAGGGGGAAGCGCTAAACCCGGAGGATTATACAGCGCCTGGGGGGGGATGTGGAAGGCATTCAGGCTTAATTCGGAGAACTGGAGCACAGATCCAATTCCCTAAATCAAGAGCCCCTCACCAACATCAAGGAACCTTCCTTGAGGAGAGATTAGGTCAAGTTTCAGTGGGTTTGGTTGGGTTACAATATTTTTTTTTTTTATCTTTCCATAATAAAAACTATTTCTGCACAACCTTATCTATTTTGAAAGATTTCACTCATATTCACCCTACTTGAATATGATGGTAATGATTTACTTATCTCTATATTCCATAAAAGCTAAACAAAAAACTTCATTCAGTTTAAATTTCACATTTTCTTTTCCTGCCACAGAATTTTAGATATGTCTGTATTGTCTGTGGGTTTAATGCTTCCCCCTGAATATAATAATTACATACCATTCCTGAGGGGAATGGGATGTAATTTATAGGGAAGCACTAAGCCCCTTTGGTATTTAGTGTTTCCCTTAAATACGTAATAATAATTATTCTAGTTTTCAATTGATTTATACTATCAGCAGCCTGAACATTATCTTCCACCTAATTCCTCAGGTCACAACTGAGAGGACTTAGATTGAACTTGGACAGGAAGAGATGCATGTCCCTGTTCAACTAGCAGTAAATGGGTGCCTGGATGTTAGTTGCAAGTTGTGGGAGGAATCCTGAGGAAGAGGACCTAAAGTCTAAGGAACTCATTGGTAATAAGTCACACTGCTTGACTTCCCTTGGTTATCCTGGGATACTGACCCTCAAAGGTTAATAATACTAACAACAGTAGTAGTAGTAACAGTAGTATTCTAATAATAATGACTGTAAGATTAAAATATTGCCATTGAAATCATATTAGCTAACCTGAATTAACAGTATTTTATTTTCGCTGTGTTAAGGTTACAGGTAAAACAGTTGAGTTTTACATGCTGTATTTTAATTTTTTTAGAATACACTTGTAGATGCATTTAATCAGTGAAGTAAAGTCACAGGTGCTCAGCAAGGTTTTACTGTTTTTGGCTCTGTGTAGGCCCTGCTCTGCACCTGCGACTTTTCTTCAGTCCTGTTGGAAGTACAGCTTTGTGTTTTGCATTTAGTTGCTACAGGCATACATTTATGATCCGTTACTCTATATGGCACATGTGTATGCCATATACAGTGTGTATATGGTATACACATGTAATAGTAATACACGTACTGCATGAAAGATATTCAATAAACCAACATGTAATAACTCAAACACTTGATTAAGTAACTTGGGAAGGCTCTTACTGAGTGTACCATTTAAAAAAAAAAAGGCTTCTTCCTACTATGTTGTTTATTTACTGATACTATTACAGATAATACAAAAAATAAATCTTTTATCAAACATAACAGCTATTTGTGTATTTTTAATTTTACCAAACAGTTGGTGATTGCAACAGTTTTGATCCCAACTAGTTCTACATTAAGTTATGCAAAAACTTTCCTCACTTTGTTAATTTATTTGTCAGGAAAAATTAAGTGACAGTTCTTAATCATATGATGATACACTCAGTGGCTCATTAACACCTGACACAAGCCTTACTCATATGACACAATGGCTCATTAACACCTAAAACAGATTTTAAACATATGACAACACCTGTGTCTCCTAGGATTTAGTCCTAAATTTATGTTATTTCATATTACGGTACCCCATGCCAATTTTTGTAGGTGTATTCAAGACTTTTTTTTTTTTTTTTTTTACACACCAGTTTTGTAGACTAAGAGCTGTTCTCGTACCACCCTTGGGATGCAACCCACAACAGTCAACTGATACCCAGGTATCTACTTATTGATAGGTGAACTTGGGCAACAGGTGTTAGGAAATATCCCCAACATTTCTACCCATGCCATGGATTGAACCACAGACCCTCAGTATGTGAGCTGAGTACAAAATTGTCCATTTTCCATATTACTGTCATCCTGTCACAGTGAATAAGGCACATGTGCACCTCTAGGGTATCTTAATTTGCCATTTCTTAATTTGCAAGCTTCTTCAGCCAGATACAGAGGCAATTTAATACTAGAGACAGTGGAAAACTAGAGGTTAAAATTTAAGGTGGTTAAGTCCCTTAGCATTAATGAAAGATGTTCAGTCCCTTAGCCAAAGGTAGTGGCATAAGGACAGAAGTGAGGTGTAGAAGTTGGAGATGGTATCACAGATGGCCAGGGCCCATTAGTAGAAGTTGATCATGCACAACAGTTGTTTAACCATAAAGTTACAGAGAACATTCCTTATACCAAAATACCATGAGGTTACTTTGTAACACAAGTAACATCATATTAATGATATATATTACCAACAAGTTAAATAAAATAAAAAAATATTTCATACGAACCATACAAAGACATTAGAAGTTTTACAGTCCACATGATTACAATTATGATTTTGATATAATTATAATGCAAATATATTTGGATACAATTGAAAGCTCAGAAGAAAGCCACTTACAGTATTATGCTATGTATTTCAGGCAAACTGATTATATAGCCAACATATGGTGTAAATCTAGACCTAGCATATAATTTTAGTCAAATGTGTACCAGTACAGCTTGAGTAGGTTGTAAATGATGAATTGGACAATTACAAAAATATATTACAGTGAATTTACATCAGTTCAGTTATCTGTATTTTATGGGATAGTTGAATTGAAGTGGTGAAATCAAAGCCTGAGAATAAGACTCGTGTAATGCTTGGGTATCTTTATTTGTCACAGTGTGATGCCTGTGAAGCAAGCTTCTGCAGTCAGATGCAGAGGTAATTTAATACTGGAGACAGTATAAGAAGTGGAGAAGTAATTCTGAGGTGTTTGGCCACTGAGCCTTAATAGGTGGTTAGTCCTTTAGAGTTATGGATGTCTTCCATGGCTCCTTATTCTTATACTCTTATGTAATATACAGTTTCCAATTTTTTTTTTTTTTTCAACAAGTCGGCCGTCTCCCACCGAGGCAGGGTGACCCAAAAAAGAAAGAAAATCCCCAAAAAGAAAATACTTTCATCATCATTCAACACTTTCACCACACTCACACATTATCACTGTTTTTGCAGAGGTGCTCAGAATACAACAGTTTAGAAGCATATACGTATAAAGATACACATATCCCTCCAAACTGCCAATATCCCAAACCCCTCCTTTAAAGTGCAGGCATTGTACTTCCCATTTCCAGGACTCAAGTCCAACTATATGAAAATAACCGGTTTCCCTGAATCCCTTCACTAAATATTACCCTGCTCACACTCCAACAGATCATCAGGTCCCAAGTATCATTCGTCTCCATTCACTCCTATCTAACACGCTCATGCACGCTTGCTGGAAGTCCAAGCCCCTTGCCCACAAAACCTCCTTTACCCCCTCTTTCCAACCCTTTCGAGGACGACCCCTACTCCTTCCTTCCCCTATAGATTTATATGCTTTCCATGTCATTCTACTTTGATCCATTCTACTCTAATGACCAAACCACCTAAACAACCCCTCTTCTGCCCTCTGACTAATGCTTTATTAACTCCACACCTTCTCCTAATTTCCACACTCCGAATTTTCTGCATAATATTTACACCACACATTGCCCTTAGACAGGACATCTCCACTGCCTCCAACCGTCTCCTCGCTGCTGCATTTACCACCCAAGCTTCACATCCATAATAGATGTTGGTACAACTATACTTTCATACATTCCCTTCTTTGCCTCCATAGATAACGTTTTTTGACTCCACATATACCTCAACGCACCACTCACCTTTTTTCCCTCATCAATTCTATGATTAACCTCATCCTTCATAAATCCATCCGCCGACACGTCAACTCCCAAGTATGTATCTGAAAACATTCACTTCTTCCATACTCCTCCTCCCCAATTTGATATCCAATTTTTCTTTATCTAAATCATTTGATACCCTCATCACCTTACTCTTTTCTATGTTCACTTTCAACTTTCTACCTTTACACACATTCTCAAACTCATCCAATAACCTTTGCAATTTTTCTTTAGAATCTCCCATAAGCACAGTATCATCAGCAAAAAGTAACTGTGTCAATTCCCATTTTGAATTTGATTCCCCATAATTTAACCCCACCCCTCTCCCGAACACCCTAGCATTTACTTCTTTTACAACCCCATCTATAAATATATTAAACAACCATGGTGACATTACACATCCCTGTCTAAGACCTACTTTTACTGGGAAGTATTTTCCCTCTCTTCTACAAACACTAACCTGAGCCTCACTATCCTCATAAAAACTCTTAACAGCATTTAGTAACTTACCACCTATTCCATATACTTGCAACATCTGCCACATTGCTCCTCTATCCACTCTATCATATGCCTTTTCTAAATCCATAAATGCAATAAAAACTTGCCTACCTTTATCTAAATACTGTTCACATATATGCTTCAATGAAAAACACTTGATCTACACATCCCCTACCCACTCTGAAGCCTCCCTGCTCATCCGCAATCCTACATTCTGTCTTACCTCTAATTCTTTCAATTATAACCCTACCGTATACTTTTCCTGGTATACTCAGTAAACTTATTCCTCTATAATTTTTACAATCTCTTTTGTCCCCTTTCCCTTTATAAAAAGGGACTATACATGCTCTCCGCCAATCCCTAGGTACCTTCCCCTCTTTCATACATTTATTAAACAAAAGTACCAACCACTCCAACACTATATCCCCCACTGCTTTTAACATTTCTGTCATGATCCCATCAGTTCCAGCTGCTTTACCCCCTTTCATTCTACGTAATGCCTCACGTACCTCCACCACACTTACATTCTGCTCTTCTTCACTCCTAAAAGATGGTATACCTCCCTGGCCAGTGCATGAAATTACCGCCTCCCTTTCTTCCTCAACATTTAAAAGTTCCTCAAAATATTCTCGCCATTACCTAATACCTCCCTTTCCCCATCTACTAATTCCCCTACTCTGTTTCTAACTGACAAATCCATACTTTCCCTAGGCTTTCTTAACTTGTTTAACTCACTCCAAATTTTTTTCTTATTTTCATTAAAATTTCTTTACAGTGCCTCTCCCACTCTATCATCTGCTCTCCTTTTGCACTCTCACCACTCTCTTCACCTTTCTTTTACTCTCCATATACTCTGCTCTTCTTATAACACTTCTGCTTTGTAAAAACCTCTCATAAGCTACCCTTTTTTTCTATTATCACACCCTTTACTTCATCATTCCACCAGTCACTCCTCTTTCCTCCTGCCCCCACCCTCCTATAACCACAAACTTCTATCCCACATTCTAATACTGCATTTTTAAAACTATTCCAACCCTCTTCACCCCCCCCCTACTCATCTTTGCACTAGCCCACCTTTCTGCCAATAGTCGCTTATATCTCACCCGAACTTCCCCTCCCTTTGTTTATACACTTTCACCTCCCTCTTACTTGTTGTTGCCACCTTCCTCTTTTCCCATCTACCTCTTACTCTGACTGTAGCTACAACTAAATAATGATCCGATACATCAGTTGCCCCTCTATAAACATGTACATCCTGGAGCCTACCCATCAACCTTTTATCCACCAATACATAATCTAACAAACTACTTTCAGTACGTGCTACATCATACCTTGTATATTTATTTATCCTCTTTTTCATAAAATATGTATTACTTATTACCAAATTTCTTTCTACACATAGCTCAATTAAAGGCTCCCCATTTACATTTACCCCTGGCATCCCAAATTTACCTACTACTCCCTCCATAACATTTTTACCCACTTTAGCATTGAAATCCCCAACCACCATTACTCTCACACTTGATTCAAAACTCCCCACACATTCACTCAACATTTCCCAGAATCTCTCTCTCTCTCCTCTACACTTCTCTCTTCTCCAGGTGCATACACACTTACTATAACCCACTTTTCACATCCAATCTTTATTTTACTCCACATAATCCTTGAATTTATACATTTGTAGTCCCTCTTTTCCTGCCATAGCTTATCCTTCAACATTATTGCTACTCCTTCTTTAGCTCTAACTCTATTTGAAACCCCTGACCTAATCCCATTTATTCCTCTCCATTGAAACTATCCCACCCCCTTCAGCTTTGTTTCACTTAAAGCCAGGACATCCAGTTTCTTCTCATTCATAACATCCACAATCATCTCTTTCTTATCATTTGCACAACATCCACACACATTCAGACTTCCCACTTTGACAATTTTCTTCTTCTTATTATTTTTAGTAATCTTTACAGGAAAAGGGGTTACTAGCCCATTGTTCCCGGCATTTTAGTTGACTTTTACAACACGCATGGCTTACGGAGGAAAGATTCTTATTCCACTTCCCCATGGATATAAAAGGAAAAGTAATAAGACCAAGAACTATTAAGATTATTATTATTATTATTATTATTATTATTATCATCATCATCAGCAAAAAGAAGTGCTAAATCCATGAGGGTCATACAAAGAAGTAGTTTCCAATTCTCCATATTCTTATTCCCTCATGTAATAATATAAAATTCACAATTCTCTTTATGGAACATGTACTCTCCATGGCTCCTGATTCTTATACTCTTATGTAATATACTGTCTCCATGACTTGAGATTAAAAAAAAATCATAAGTAGATAATTTACCCCACTTTTATTCCTATTCTTTTAATCATTCTGGAATATAGTTTGTTTCTCAGTAAATGGCATTCAGAAGGCATTTCCCAACACTTTAAATTTGAATAGGTCTCTGGTGGCAAGTAAGTAAGTTTATTCAGGTATACACAAATACAGTTACATAGAATTATCATACATAGCAGCATATGTGTAGAGAACCTAGGATAACCCAAAAAAGTCAGACAGAGTGACTTATTTCCATTGGGACAACAAACTGACAGGTGTGTATTAAGACAAGTAATATTACATATGTTTAATAGTGCTTGCATATGTTGTTTTAGTATGATCTTTTTTTTTTTTTTTTTTTTTTTTTTTTTTTTTTTTTTTTTTTTTTTTTTTGGTGCTATGGTTATATGGTTATTTGTATCACAAATATTAACATTTTTGTTTTCTGCATTTCTTTTATTTCTTTGTTTTATATTAATTCCTGTTTTTTCTAGTAGTTACCTTTATTGAGCTTCCTCACACACTTGTAGTTATATAACTTGACTCACGAAATCGTAATGACACGATTGCAAACAAACCATACCCCGGCCGGGATTGAACCCGCGGTCAGAGAGTCTCAGAACTCCAGCCCGTCACGTTAGCCACTAGACCAGCTAGCCACAATAAGATTCGTCCAACTAGGTATATTTCTACACCATAGGAAGGTTAGCACAGGCACCACTGTGACCACAAATGCAAGTTTTTACAGACGAATCTCCAGCTAGCGTGGCCGTGATGAATTCTAGCTCAAGTCCCTTCACTGCCATCAACATGACTCAGGAAATCGTAATGACACGATTGCAAACAAACCATACCCCGGCCAGGATTGAACCCGCGGTCAGAGAGTCTCAAAACTCCAGCCCGTCGCGTTAGCCACTAGACCAGCTAGCCACAATAAGATTCGTCACGGCCACACTAGCTGGAGATTCGTCTGTAAAAACTTGCATTTGTGGTCACAGTGGTGCCTGTGCTAACCTTCCTATGGTGTAGATATATACCTAGTTGGACGAATCTTATTGTGGCTAGCTGGTCCAGTGGCTAACGCGATGGGCTGGAGTTTTGAGACTCTCTGACCGCGGGTTCAATCCCGGCCGGGGTATGGTTTGTTTGCAATCGTGTCATTACGATTTCGTGAGTCATGTTGATGGCAGTGAAGAGACTTGAGCTAGAGTTTGTCACGGCCACGCTAGCTGGAGATTCGTCTGTAAAAACTTGCATTTGTGGTCACAGTGGTGCCTGTGCTAACCTTCCTATGGTGTAGAAATATACCTAGTTGGACGAATCTTATTGTGGCTAGCTGGTCTAGTGGCTAACGCGACGGGCTGGAGTTTTGAGACTCTCTGACCGCGGGTTCAATCCCGGCCGGGGTATGGTTTGTAGTTATATAGATGCTCCTTGCTTTATAGTGGTTCGACTTGTGATATTTTGACTTTATGATGGTGAAATAGAGATGCACATTCAGTAATCGTCAAGCTTTGATGGGATAAATGTGTATTCATTTATTTACTTTTCAGTACTGGTATTTAGTTACAATAATTATTTGTTTATTCAGTGACGATAGTTATTAACTTACGTATTTATCATATGTTCATACTTGACTTACAATATTTTCAACTTACGTTGGATTCATTGGAATGTAATCCTATCACAAGTCAAGGAATACCATAGTATAATCAGTCACCCCAACATGCACTCCTCTTCATAAAGTCTTGCCATTACTTTAATATATTTCTTCACATTTTTAGATATGGTATACAACATAATCAATCTTCCTACAGGCATTACTTCATCAGAACCAACCTTAACAAGGGATACCAACATATGGCTAAGAACAGCAGCACTTCATTTAGTCTACTCATTGGGGTACCAAAGGCAGGGTCCTGATGCACAGCTATTCCTTCTTTACATCAGTGACTTCCAAATAAATCAAGTAAGTACTTTTTATTTTTACAATAGTTATATATAGTCAGTTATGTATAACTGATCCTAGGATAACTAAGTAAAGTCCAACAGCACCAAATAATACCTTTTCTAATTCACTGCTGGCTATGTTGTTAAGGTCAATTGGATCTGAATTGATAACAAAGTGTAATCATCTATGAATAAAATTGGTTTAAGTTGAGGTGCATTTGGTAGGTTATTGATTTAAAGAAGAAATAAAGGTGGCCTTAGGACATTGTCTTGCAGCACCTGTGTTGGCTGGTAGATGAGGTGGAGTAATTTAGAGTCCTGTGTTGGAGTCTGTCATTGAGGCATGGCCTCCTATTCTATAATGGTCTAGTCTACATTGTTGTGGTTTACTCTGTCAAGAGCTTTTCTTAGGTTAATAAGAGGCCCATTGAATATTCATAGTTTTTTAGGGATGTGTAGATTAAATCTCACATTTTTGTTATTATATCATTTGTACATTTTTAGACTTGAAACCAAACTGATTAGGAATATCATTTTGTTTTACAAAGTCATATATTCACTTTAATATTTTTTGTTTCAAATATTTTAAGTATAGTAGAATTAGTTACTTATTTCAGATGAGTCTTCACTTGTAGAGTAGTGAGAGCTTAGCTAAGGAACCTTTTGGCTTCAATAAATTTATTAAACAGCACTGCAGTAATTAGTGATAATACATGTTTTGTGGGCGAGGGGCTTGGACTTCCAGCAGGCTTGCATGAGCGTGTTCGATAGGAGTGAATGGAGACGAATGGTATTTGGGACCTGACGATCTGTTGGAGTGTGAGCAGGGTAATATTTAGTGAAGGGATTCTGGGAAACCGGTTATTTTTATGCAGCCGGACTTGAGTCCTGGAAATGGGAAGTACAGTGCCTGCACTCTAAAGGAGGAGTTCGGGATATTAGCAGTTTGGAGGGATACGTCGTGTATCTTTATACGTATACGCTTCTAAACTGTTGTGTTCTGAGCACCTCTGCAAAAACAGTGATTATGTGAGTGAGGTGAAAGTGTTGAATGATGATGATGAAAGTATTTTCTTTTTGGGGATTTTCTTTCTTTTTGGGTCACCCTGCCTCAGTGGGAGATGGCCAACTTGTTAAAAAAAAAAAAACATGTCCAGCTTTCTTATACTGTATACAAGTGAAGGTATACAGTACAAAATCCTTTATCCAAATCCAAAAACATGATGCACCACAAATGGATCATTCAGCGCAAGATGTAGTGGAGGCTCACTCCTCCATCTCTTGAGCCAAAACAGACGAGCTTTATATTTGTACTAGCGCCAGTTTGTTGTCAGCAGCAATACTCACTGATGACTGTGTTTTGTGCTCTGTTGTACGAAGATATTGTTGAAAATGTCAAAAAGGCCTATGGGTAATAGTAAAAGAAAGAGGAAGCATTTATATTTATCTGTATCACAGAAAGTCATATTGTTAGGAAAACTTGAGAGTGGTGTAAGTGTGAAGTGTCTTACTGAGAAGTTTGGTGTTGGAACAACCACTATTGCCTATAAAAACGGGACAAATTGTTGAAGTTCTGTGCTGAAAGTGATGAACAGAAGTTAATGACAAATAGAAAAACATTGCATAAAGAGAAAAATGAAGATCTTGATTGTGTATTGATGGAGTGGATTCATCGGTGTTGGAGTGAGCATAATGCCGCTTAATGGAATGCTGATCACGAAACAAGCAAATAAACTATCATGACAGACTAAATATTGAAGGTAACTGAATATCCAGAAGCTGGTTACAAAAATTTAAGAAATGGCACAGCATTAAATATTTAAAGATTAGTTGTGATAAATCATCTGCTGATCATGAAATATCAGAGAAATTCATAGATGTTTTTGCCAAGATTGTTGCTGGTGAAAATCTAACAGCATAGTCTGGGCCTGCACTTATCTTCTTTTATTAAGCAGTGATCATGTTTTTTGGTACAGTGCCTGTACAGTACAATACAGTGTTTAGACCTGGGTCCCATCCCCAAGCTGTCCCATTTTATTATTATTATTATCACACTGGCCGATTCCCACCAAGGCAGGGTAGCCCGAAAAAGAAAAACTTTCACCATCATTCACTCCATCACTGTCTTGCCAGAAGGGTGCTTTACACTACAGTTTTTAAACTGCAACATTAACACCCCTCCTTCAGAGTGCAGGCACTGTACTTCCCATCTCCAGGACTCGAGTCCAGCCTGCCGGTTTCCCTGAACCCCTTCATAAATGTTACTTTGCTCACACTCCAACAGCACGTCAAGTATTAAAAACCATTTGTCTCCATTCACTCCTATCAAACACGCTCACGCATGCCTGCTGGAAGTCCAAGCCCCTCGCACACAAAACCTCCTTTACCCCCTCCCTCCAACCTTTCCTAGGCCGACCCCTACCCCGCCTTCCTTCCACTACAGACTGACAGACTGATACACTCTTGAAGTCATTCTGTTTTGCTCCATTCTCTCTACATGTCCGAACCACCTCAACAACCCTTCCTCAGCCCTCTGGACAACAGTTTTGGTAATCCCACACCTCCTCCTAACTTCCAAACTACGAATTCTCTGCATTATATTCATACCACACATTGCCCTCAGACATGACATCTCCACTGCCCCCAGCCTTCTCCTCGCTGCAACATTCATCACCCATGCTTCGCACCCATATAAGAGCGTTGGTAAAACTATACTCTCATACATTCCCCTCTTTGCCTCCAAGGACAAAGTTCTTTGTCTCCACAGACTCCTAAGTGCACCACTCACCCTTTTCCCCTCATCAATTCTATGATTCACCTCATCTTTCATAGACCCATCCGCTGACACGTCCACTCCCAAATATCTGAATACATTCACCTCCTCCATACTCTCTCCCTCCAATCTGATATCCAATCTTTCATCACCTAATCTTTTTGTTATCCCCATTTTATAGATGCAAATATACAAATATTCCAAAACATGAAATTTGAAACACTTTCGGCCCCAAGTATTTTTGGATAAAGGATTCTCAACTCTATTTGTTTTACTTCTTGCTTTGTTTTTCTGGTAAATTTATTACTGAGATTACCTCTCAGGGAGTATTTTGAAATAGATGTAGGGATAATCTCTAACTGGGGCTTGGGAGTTTTGGATTTTTTGCTAGTCTTACCTGTAGGCCAGAAGAAATTATTTAATAATAGCAAAATGAAACTGAAAATTAAATTTAAAAAAGTACAGTCGCTGCAAAATTTGGTAACATTTTTTTCTAACATTATGGTTATGCAGAGGATTTTTGGCAGACGAACCAGAACTGAAAACTGTTTGACACTATGTAGCTGTATAATTTATGTTAATATATGTTTATCAGCCTGGCCTAGGGCCAGGCTGCAGGGGTAGGAAAACTCTCGAAATCCTTTATAGGTATTTCAAAGGTCTGAAAATAAGATTAGTAGGTGAAAAGATTAAGTACCAAAACTATATATTAAAACAGCAGTGATATTATAAAAAAAATAGTAGTACGTACCAGATTATAATGATTAATTAATAACGCTTAATTAGAGTGAGACCAAAGTAAATTTAGATATTTTGTATGTTAAGCAAATTTAAACCTTTGAGGGATCATTCTGGCAACAGATTTTTATTGAATTACAGTGGGTTTTAAGTCATTTGCATCTGTAGTTCCCCATGCACATATATCCCTCAATGAGGTAATAATAAATACAATATAATCAGATTACATGCTGAACCTGTATGGGTCATACAGCAGATAAGGATAGATTTGAGAGTACAGAGTAAGTAGTATTAACTGAGGTGTCTATATATACATATGAAGTAATTTTTAAAAAATGCCCACTCTTAGAAATTGTGTTTGATGTGTGCTGGTGGTAAGTGTTGAATTTTTAGTTTGCTGTCTAGGTGTATAGCTAAACAACATTTTTTTTAATGAATATTTTTAATTTTATTCCCAGTTATTAATAATATTAAATTTTTGGGTCACCAAGCCTTGGCAGGAGACAGCCATTGCATTAAAAAATAAAATAGGGGGAATCAAATACAAAATGGGAGTTGACATGATTACTTTTTGCTGATGATACTGCGCTTATGGGTGATTCTAAAGAAAACTTGCAAAGGTTAGTGGACGAGTTTGGGAGGGTGTGTAAAGGTAGAAAGTTGAAAGTGAACATGGATAATAGTAAGGTGATGAGGGTATCAAATGATTTAGATCAAGAAAAATTGGACATCACATTGGAGAGGAGTATGGAAGAAGTGAATGTTTTCAGATATTTGGGAGTTGATGTGTCAGTGGATGGGTTTATGAAGGATGAGGTTAACCATAGAATTGACGAGGGAAAAAAAGGCGAGTGGTACGTTGAGGTATATGTGGAGACAAAAAACGTCATCAATTGAGGCAAAGAAGGGAATGAAAGTATAGTGGCACCAACACTCTTATATGGGTGTGAGGCTTGGGTTGTAAGTGCTGCAGCGAGGAGGCGGTGGAGATGTCCTGTCTAAGGGCAACGTGTGGTGTAAATATTATGCAGAGAATTCGAAGTATGGAAATTAGGAGGTGTGGAGTTAATAAAAGTATTAGTCAGAGGGCTGAAGAGGGGTTGTTGAGGTGGTTTGGTCATTTAGAGAGAATGGATCAAAGTAGAATGACATGGAGACTATAAATCTGTAGGGGAAGGAAGCCGGGGTAGGGGGTCGTCCTCGGAAAGGTTTTGTGGGTGAGGGGCTTAGACTTCCAGCAAGCGTGCATGAGTGTGTTAGATACGAGTGAATGGAGACGAATGGTTTTTGGGACCTGACAAGCTGTTGGAGTGTGAGCAGGGTAATATTTCGTGAAGGAATTCAGGGGAACCGGTTATTTTTATATAGCTGGACTTGAGTTCTGGAAATGGGAATTACAATGCCTGCACTTTAAAGGAGGGGTTTGGGATATTGGCAGTTTGGAGGGATGTATAATAGGACAGTATATATATAATTGGGGCCCTGATATTGTATCTTTATATATGCTTCTAAACTGTTGTATCTGGGTGCCTCTGCAAAAACAGTGATTATGAGTGAGGTGAAAATGTTGAATGATGATGAAAGTATTTTCGTTTTGGGGATTTTCTTTCTTTTTGGGTCATCCTGCCTAAGTGGGAGACAGCCGACTTGTTGAAAAAAAAAAAAAGCATGCAAATATAGGTTTTGCAAGAAGCTTATAGTACAGAATGCACAGCATTGCAGACAGACTTAAACTAAGACTAAAACTACAGTAGTCAGTTCCATCTTCTCTCATAACTAGTTTGGTGCTGCTAGTTAGTTCCATCTGTATCATTGATAGCTAGTTTGGTGCTGGAGTTCATCAGATGGTTCTGTGTGGTGGTGAATAATACAGGTGTTGTTCATCTCTCTGGCAGGCATCTTTGTGTTATCTGATCCTCATGTTCAGGTCCCTAAAGATTTCAGCTATGAAAAAACTTGTCACACCCTGAAACTAAAACTAAAATTACTTAATACTATAAAATACATGATTGTAGAGTTGTGTAAACTTGTGTGTTAAGTGCAAGGTATTGACAGACAAAATGGAAAAAAAAGCACATAACATCTGGCCACAACTCAGGAGCAAATAGTTGGCAACATTAATTATGTACAGATCAAAATAAATAAATGGACAATAAAGATAGCCAACAAATTAAAATTTGGGGGGCAGAATTAAAGAAAGACAAGATACATGGTGTAAATAATATATTAATAAAATGCAATAACGTAATTAAAGAAATTTTCTGGTAAAAACTTTGAATTCGTGAATTATATAAAATTACATAATTGGACTAAATAGTAATTTTGATATGTTGGTGCCTAGTAAGGTGGGGCATTGATCATTTGTATTATCAATGATGATGCAAGCTTTTAGAGAAGCTGTTATATTTGCCCAGCTGTGGATCAATAGACTAGACCAACAAGTTTGATAATAAGACACAATATACTTTTTATGACATTTTATTAAGATGTTTTGCCCACCAAGGACTTTTTATATGTCTCTGAGAACTGATAAATTAAGTTTATACAGTGGACCCCCGAGTTTCGTGATTAATCCGTTCCAGAGTCTGCCGAATAGCAAAATTCACGAATGGCGAAGCCATTTTCCCCATAAGAAATAATGTAAATCCAATTAATCTGTTTCAGGCACCCAAAAGTATTAACAGAAAATAATTTTTTTAAAGATTAAATATATTTTTACATACAGAAAACAGTGACAGATAAATATAAAGCACTAATAAAATGGATAAATGAACATTTAACATCACACTTACCTTTATTGAAAAGACTTGTTGGTGTATGGAAGACAGGGAGGAGAGTTTATTATGCTTCAATATGAGGCTGATAAAATCTCTATGGCTTATTTATCTATTATAATTCATCTAATATGACAAACAATATTAACAACATAGAAACATGATATATACTCTAGAATGAATAAAATATGTGAGGAGTAGGTGGTGGTGTTGGGTTTATAAGGGCCACAGAGAAGTCGTACACATTAGTGGTAGTGGAGGCGGCAGCAGAAGCCACCACCACTATTCACACTGAAACGATGTACATAATTTATAAATAAGAAATGTTTACATTTACCTTGGAGATGTTTAATTAGATGCTGGCAGAGGTTTAGGGTTGTGGAAGATAGCAGGGTGGCATATATTCAGTGGCCCTATACACCTCCAACAACATTGGAGAGTTACTTTCATGTCATTTGTCTATCACTTAATTTGCTTGCTACACTGTCGCTGGCTGGCGCTATAGCCTTTATCGATACCTGCTGCTTTAGTATCATCGAATCACTGAAGAAGGCACATTCTCCCCTCTTATTCCTTTACTTTGGTACGAGTTTCTTCTTGAATTCTATCGTGTTTCTTTCCTTCTTTACCAAAGGGCTGGCACTATGAGCTTTCTTTGGGTCCTTGGTGTCTTATCAGTTGCAAGCACAAAAAAAAATAGATTATGAAATGCATTGTATGAACCCATGGGGTGATGGTCACTCGCCCACAAATCGTGCCACACTGACTCTGAATGTTGTGTGGGAGCCTTTGCATATGCCCGGCCGCATTGATGCGTCCTGTATGACAGGCGAATCGTGAGGCAAATCACGAACCGCGAGGCTTTATTTTGACGAAAAAAAAGTTGCCGAAAGTTGAAATTCACGAAGCGTGAGGCTCCACTCTGTATGTACCGTATTTTCAAATTCAATTCAAAGTTTATTCTCTAAAAGGATTACAATGCTGAGTTTACAGAATTTGGGTATTGTGTGGTTTACATGTAGTAAAATAATTACAGAGTGTACCACTAGAACACTTAGACTTAGTTTAAATCTTAAATTTAAAATATTACCGAGTATGAGGTAAGTTGGTATTATGGCTAAGTGACTAAATACTAGTTTGTGAGTTTAGCAATATGAATGCTTTTGTTTTGGCACAATACATAGTTTCAGTATTGGAGTATCACAGGCCAACTTATGACTAGTTAGGATTCATTATTTTAAGATTGAGATTGATATTTCTTTTTATGGTCAAATGGGTGAGTGTAAGTGTGAACCACCAGGTGGTATTCGTGTAATTAGTTGACAGGGTGTATCAGGGAGATGAGATGTTTTCTAATGGTAGTTTTGAATGTGTCTGCAGTTCTAGAGTTTTCAGGTAGGGTGTTCCAGATTTTAGGGCCTTTGACATACATTGAATTTTTGTAAAGGTTTAGTCGGACACGGGGAATGTTGTAGAGATGTTTGTGTCTGGTGTTATGCCTGTGGGTTCTGTCACAACTATCAAGAAAGCACAGTAGTAAGTGTGGATCTACTGAACAGGGAGTAAGTTTAGATCTATGAAGAGTGGGGGGGGCGGGTGTTGCCAGGGATGGGATTTAGTGATTATTCTTACTGCGGCTTTTTGTTGGGTTATTATTTACTTTAGGCGTGTTGCTGCAGTTGACCCCCAAGCACAAATAGCATAGGTGAGGTATGGATAAATAAGCGAGTGGTATAGTGTGAGAAGGGCATTTTGCGGCACATAGTATTGTATCTTGGAGAGGATCCCAACCGTTTTGGTTATGTGTTGGATATGGGTGCTGAAATTCAGGTTGTTGTCGAGGTATAGGCCTAGGAATTTGCCCTCATTATGTCTGGCAATTAGAGTGTTGTTGATCTTAATTGCGCAACTCCTGCTCTGCTACCAAACAATGTAGTAGGTTTTGTCAGTGTTAAGCGTAAGTTTATTGGCTGTCATCCAAGTCGATATTTTGATCAGCTCCTTGTTAACAATGGTATTGAGGGTGGCAAGATTAGGGTGAGAGATGACATAAGTCGTGTCGTCAGCAAAGAGAATGGGGTTCAGGTGTTGGGATACGTTTGGAAGAGCAGGGGACCAAACACACTTCCCTGCGGAACTCCAGTATCAAGTGGCCGTGTTGTTGATGCTGTGTCTTAAATGGTGACATACTGATACCTATTAGTAAGGTAAGATTTGAAATATGCAAGCACATGGCCCCTTATACCATAATGGTCAAGTTTGTGGAGTAGGATGCTGTGGTCTACTGTGTCAAAAGTCTTTGAAAAATCACCCTGCACCTTATATGCTCAAGGTAGGCTTGGGGTTACTGGCGTTTTCTAAATGGATGTGCCGTTCATTATAGTAATAAGGTTGCAATACTAGTGTGCCTCATATGCTGAAAAATACAGTACATTAGAGAGAGGAAGTGCTGTTACTCAGCCAAGTGGAAACACTGAAATTTAAGATTAGATGGGTCTGTAGGCCAATTTCAATACTTCTCCATGTAGTTTTTATGACAGTGTTATATCCAGTGACACTACTTTTGAAGCAGACAAGTGTATTGTTGCCATTTCTTGACATTCTTGTGAAATGGCAATAATAGTTGCATAACACCAGCATGTAAATTAACAAAATTCTCTTTATTTATACCAATCTCTTGTAAATGAAATTTGATATCCACCTTAACTGAGAACTTTTCAAATTCATTCAAATACATGAATTTGTACACCTCTTTAGAATGATCTTGTGAATTTTTTTTGTTACAAGTTATTACCTACATCATGCAGTACTATAAATTTATGTTAACAGAGCAGTTCTTTATGTCCTAATAAATGTCAGACAAAAATAGCTTTTCTTTAACCCTCTCACAAATTGCAACTCCTAAATTTAAATCTTTTACTCTCATGTAGAGCAAGAAAGTCAGAGTTGCTTAAATAGAGCTGCATAATTGTAGCATCCTCAGATATACTGTCAGTGGTAAAAATTTGGCCTTGACATAAGAGTATAGGTCTGTGTGGCGAGTGTGCACAGTATATTAAAAAAAACCTGTCCATGATAGGAACAGCTAACCTTGTGCTTGTTTTAAAAATGCAACTTCAATTGTTTTCTAGGGTGATTTTCATGTTTTTATTGGCTGTTTCTTAGTTGATAAACTGGAAGACATACTAGTGAAATAGAGATGATTTTGGTCAGTTTTTGATGAAATGACTTGAAATACTGTTTGTGTAAAATTAGCCAAATTACTTACTTCTGGATGTTCTATAAGGTAGTTCTGATAGCTGAATGGACAGCAGCTTGTGCTCAATCTACAGAATTGAAAGTATACTAGTCAAATAGCCAGAGTCAGTTTGAGTAATGGAATTGGCCTACAACAGGCCTCAACATGGGTGAAATTGCAGTTGTGTAATGTGTTCCCCGACCTCCAAATTCATGCAAATTTCACAAAGCTGAAGTGCAGGTATCACTTCATGCAACTGTAATTTCACACACTTTGAGCCCTATTTTAGGCCAATTCCTGGTTATTTCATTATACCTTATATTCTATCAAATTATAGTAAACAAACTGCCCATTTAACTATCAGAACTACCTGTAAAGTCCCCAGAAGTTGACCCAAAACTAAGCTAACCACAGTAGAATCTGTACACCATTAGAGATGAGCCTTAATTATTACACAGCTAACAGTCAGCAGATTTACTTTGGTTATTTGATTATTTGATGTTTGAGTAAATTTAACTGTAAAACTAATCATGAATAAATGATGTTTCAAGTAACAATGCTTTTTTTTTTTATTATTATTATTATTACTTGGTTAAGCCTTGTTCCCTTATGAATGTTTATTGTGACATTTTTGCAAATATCTGAATCTGAATTCCCAAGACCCTTAAAGATTTACCGTTTCCCCATAAATATAATAACTCACACAATTAACGTTACAACTTTTCCTTCTTCAGGATTGAGACGAGTATCAGCGACAACTGTTGTTCATCTCCTGCAAGTTTAATGCTTCTCCAATGAAGATGTACTGTTGACCACTGTAGTTTAATTCCTGAAAACATTAGTAAAAAAAAATTAAATGTATGAAGAGTGATGTGACAGGCAGTACCACCACCTTCCAACATCAGTAAATTATTATAATCATAACCAAGCATTAAACACTGCCCAATATCAGTAAAAATACTATATTACCAGTTATGGGAAAAAGTTACATACTAAATTATATATCATCTTAGTGATGCTGGGCATTCATGTTTAAGCTAAGGGGAAGACAAGCCCAGGTTCATGGATCTAGAGTCCTTCACTATATACACATTTTATCCCACTTCAATTTAACCCTCTTTCAATAATAATAATGGTACCATACACTTTACATGATACTGGATAACCAACAGGCTTATTCCCTTTTTTTTTTTTTATGCATGCTCTGCCAATCCTTAGGTACTTTCCACTTTCATGCTTGTATTGAATATGCTTAGCCATTCCAAAATTATATCCTCCACATGCTTTTAGCATCTCCTCTATCTCATGTCCTGGCCACTTCATTCCACACACATTTCCCTCACACTTGCCTCTGGCTCTTCTTACTCCTACAAGCACAATACCCAAAAAACTTATCAATCCTATAGAGCATCTGAATACACAAGAGTCCCTGAAATAATTAACCATTACACACACATACTTGCATTGTGTCTCATGAACATACAAGATTATATGTTAATCATACAAACTTCTTCATACTTTCAAGTTAGTCAGGCCTGAATATATCTTTCTTGTGGATTTCTTAAACATTCATAATCCTGAAATAATTCCTTCATAGCTTAAAAGGACTGGGCCACAGGGAAGCATTATGCACCTCCCTTTACCAAGTGCATTTTACGATATAGTGTGTTCATATTTGTTTGGCATAGCCTTGTCAAGAACTATAGATATAATGTATACAATTTAATATTTTTTCCTCTGTTAGCTTTTACCCAAATGCATTCATACTTTGTGTATGATCATTATATATACAGAGCTCATATATATTTGAAGATTGGTCAGGAACCAGAGGATATGTAGCTGAAAGCCATGAGTGAAAAGCACATTCTCCCAGCAGTGTCTGGCCACACACTGAGTTGTGATGGGCCAGACGAGTTGATTGGCTACACACACCACCCTTCAACACTCACTCCACCATTACTGAATTTAACCCTTCCACTGTTGTGACTTCCAGAATTAAGTGCTGACAGTGTTGCCATTTAAAAATAATAAAATCTGCAATGGTAGAGAATCTTTTTCTGATGGTAATGACACCAAAAATGTGAAATCTGATATAAAATTTATGGAATTAAGCAGGCACAGATTTGGTGGTCTGCACACATTTCATTCCTCAATTCAATCAAATTCTTAGCTATTTTGCTAGTATACTTCCCATTAATTTAAATGTTGTCTGAAATGCACTGCATAACCAGAGGCTTTCTGTTTAGTCTTTTAAACATATTTATTGCTTTATGAATTGTATACTGAACTGTATGAAAATAAAGATTTTTAATTTTTAATTCTGAATAACCAAACCTATGAGCATTAAAGAAAGTATATCAAAAAACATTACCAACATCTCAAGATGACCACTGGAAGCAAATTTCAGTCAGACTCAGTGACTAGGCATCAGTGAAAAAAGTATTGAAGCTGTCTGAAACACTGACTGACAGAGAATTTAACAATAGGCAAGACTAACTCATGTCCAAATATTTCTGCAAAAATTTGAAGCATCTACAAAAAGTACTGCTCTCAAAAGACAAACATCACAACTAAGAGGCTAAACAGGCCATGGCTGACTAGCAGCATCCTCAGATCCATTGATAAAAGCATAGCTATGAAAAAATATAGACTAGGCTTAACATCCACAGAAATTAAAAAAAATAAATCAAAATAACTCTTACAATTCTAACAGATTTAATAAAGGGATATAAAAGTGACCTGCAAACTCTTTTACTGAATTCTAGTTAAGTGACAAACAAAAAAAAATACTAAATAAACCTAATGAGCCTCCCGTTGCAATCATAGCAACAATTTCTTCTCTACTATGGGATCAACCAGAGCCAGAAAAAAAAAAATCCCTAACTCCCAAGCCCAAGTTTTTGAGATTTTCTTACAAATAATTACCCAAGCTCCCTATGTCTATCACCAACTATTCCCTCAGAAGTAAGCTTAATAAAAATAATCACTAAACAAATTAAGGTGAATAATACATAAATAAACATACATGGGGAATATTGGGCTAGTCATCATTCCTCCAAAAAAAAGTCAAGCAACAGTTTTAAATTTTGTCAAAAAAAGACATTTTTGACACCTAACATTGTAGATGTTGCTTGCTGATCTAATGTTATATACTCAAGTAAAAACTTCCTAAATAAACATAATATGGCCTGAGGGATGCTGGTGTTTGATGCAGTATACAGTCTATTCCTCTCAGAAAAATGAGATGGTTAATACAATCTAATTAGTATTAATATGTTATGGTGTGCCATAGCTCGATTGTTAGTGCACTCAGCTCACACACTGAGGCCCGAGGGTCAATCCCCTGTATAGGTGGAAACATTAGGTACCTGGGTGTTAGTTGACTGGTGTGGGTTGCATCCTGGTGACAAAACTGACCTAATTTGCCTGAAATGCTCTGCATAACTAGGGGTTTTCTATACGGTCAGCTAAGCCTGTATACCTTATACGTAATGTACATGTACTTGTAGAAATAATGATTATTATTTTATTATACAATCTTATTAGTATCAAATATACTAAAAATGTAACAAGAATGAGTTTTACTCTAACCTTAAAAAGTTTTTGTTTCCATTACTTGTTGATGTAAAAGTATTTGGAGATGGTTATGTCTGTGCAGCAGAAGGATGACCTTCACCTCCTTATCTCCTAACCTCTTCACCTTCCTTGTATTTTCATTGGCTTTTCTATCATCTTCTTTGGTGGGTTCTGTCCTGCCCATGAACTAGTAGCTTTCCTGCCATACTCCTTTGCTTTTCTTTTGTTCTTAATTATAGTGGAACCCCGGTTTTCGTCCTTAATCTGCTCCAGAAGGTCAGTCGAAATCTGAAATGGACAGAAACCAAAGTACAGTGGTACCCAAAGTTCCGGCCATAATTCGTTCCAGAAGGCTCTTCGAATGCCATTACCAAACAAATTTGTTCCGATAAGGAATAATGTAAATTAAATTAGTCCGTTTCAGACCCCCAAAAATACACTTACAAAAGCACTTACACTAATACACTTACATACTTAGAGTTGGGAGTTGTACAAAACTCGGGGTACCACTGTAATATTTCCCACAAGAAATAATGTAAGTCCAATAACAATCTGTTCCAGACACCCAAAAATATTAACAAAAAATAAATTTTATAGAGAATAACTATAGCTTTACATACAGAAAACAATGAGAAATAAATATAAAGCACTAATTGTAATGGATAAATGAACATTTAAATCAGTTTTACCTTTACTAAAGACTCTTGTTGGCATATGTAAGATGGCGAGGAGCAGAGAGGGAGGAGAGTTTATTATTTGGAAGGGGAAACCCCCTCCATAATGACTTCAGGTATCAAAGCCCTATCCGGGGTTACCTTCTTTGTCTTTTACTGGCACTATGACCAGCTTGAGAGTCACTGGACCCCTGTCACACAAAAAATCTGTCCAGAGAGCTCTGTTTTTGGTATCTCTAAGATCTGCCTAAAATGGGACAAGGCATTGTCAATGAACATGTTGCAGACTCAGCCTGCAACAGTTTTGTTAGGGTGATAATTCTCCACAAAACTTTGCACCTCACTCCACTTTGCACATATGTTCTTAATCACTGAAGAAGGCACATTCTTCCCTCTCTCCCCCTCCTCCTCCTCTGAAGCAATTTCTTCAGCTGCGATCTGTTGCTGTTCCAGTTGAAGGTCTTGCAGCTCTTCAGTGATTAGCTCTTCCCTGTGGTCCTCCACCAACTCTTCCACATCCTGGCCACTCACATCCAACCCCACGGACTTCCCCAAGGACACAATACATTCCACAATAGGGGTAGGGTCGTCAGGGTCAGCCTCAAACCCTTCAAAACCCTTCTCGAGGACACATTCTGGCCACAATTTTCTCCAAGCAGAGTTCATCGTCCTTGAAGTCACTTCCTGCCAAGCCTTATCTATAAGGCTTATGCAATTGAGGATACTGAAGTGATCCCTCCAGATCTCTCTTAGGGTCAGTTCAGTGTCCAAGGTCACTTCAAAGCACTTTTGAAATATTGCTTTCGTGTAGAGTTTTTCGAAGTTTGACATGACCTGCTGGTCCACGGGCTGGATGAGAGGAATCGTATTAGGGGCCAAGAACTTCACTATGATGAAACTAAACTCCTCAAACAATTGGTCTTCCAAGTCTGGAGGATGAGCAGGAGCACTGTCCATTACCAGGAGGCACTCGAGTGGCAATTTTTTTTCCAGGAGGTATTCACACTTCATTGACCTGCTCAATGAAAATTAGCCTCGTGACCCATTCCTTATTTTTAGCCTTCCACATCACACACAGTTTACTCTTAATGACATTGTTTTTCTTGAACACTTGGGGATTTTCAGAGTGATACACTAGTAAAGGCTTCACTTTGAAATCCCCACTAGCATTACCACAGAACAAAAGAGTTAGCCTATCCTTCATAGGCTTATGTCCTGGCAGTGCCTTTTCCTCCTGCGTGATGTAGGTCCTCTTTGGCATTTTCTTCCAAAAGAGGCCTGTTTCATCACAACTGAACACTTGTTGGGGGAGGAATCCTTCAGCCTCTATGTACTCCTTGAATTCATCAATGAATTCTTCAGCCACATGTTTGTCTGAACTTGCAGCCTCGCCATGCCTTACCACACCGTGTATGCCACTTTGCTTCTTGAATCAGTCGAACCAGCTTTTGCTGGCCTTAAATTCACTAACAGCACCACTCATTCCAGGCATTTTCTTTATGAGATCTGCATGCAACTGCCTTGCCTTTTTGCAAATTATCCCCTCCACAACACTATCTCCCACTAACTGTTTTTCTTTGATCCACACCAACAACAACTTCTCCACATCTTCGATTGTTTGTGATCTCTGTTTCATTAGCATATTTACCCTTTTTGCAACATCAGCTTCCTTGATTTCTACCTTCTTCGCCAGGATGGAACTGATTGTTGATTTGGACTTGCCATACATCCTGGTGAGCTCGGCCACACGTACGCCACTTTCTACAAGCTCTTTTTTGAATTCTATCATGTTTCTCACCTTCTTTACAAAAGGGCTGGCACTAGAAACTTTCTTTGGCCCCATGGTGGCTTATTTCGCAGTCGCACTCAATAAACAAGCACAAAAAACAATCGATTATTACGAAATGTTTCGGATGAATGCACAGAGTATTGCTCACCCAACAAGTGACAGAGGCAGACTGAGTCACATACGTGTGAGCAGCGCATCCCAGGCAGGTGGACGCTTCTGATACGAACGATTTCCGAGCAGAGGTATGAAACCCGGGGTAAAATTTTTCCGCAAAAAATGGTCGAAATCCAAATTGTACAATATCCGCACCAGACGAAATCCGGGGTTCCGCTGTACTACCACTATCTTGACTACTATCACATTTAACCATTAGTTTTTCCCTGGAGGGAAGTTCTGGAATTGTTAGGTCCACCTCATGAAGATACTGGTCACTATTTATGATAGTTACATGTACAGTGTTCTCCATCACCTATGACAGAACTGCCCTGCAAGAATGGGGTTCCTTTGAAAGGAAACTCACCAGAAAGCTGTTCTCACTTAAATAGTCAAACCACTTTGCCTGACCAACTATGTGAAGGTTAAGTGGATCACATGCAGGCTGCTAACCACCAAGAGCCTAACAATAAAATGGTATAAAATACCGACAGGTTGTTATGTAAGACACATATGCAACATATTGTTCCAGACTATGGAACAATACTCTTCTCCAGACTGAGGGACTGACCACCTCAAAACTTCAAGGGTGATGGACTGATTACATCGTCTTCAAGTCTCTTCTGCTTCTATTAACTTTGCTGTACTCGAAATAAAGATACCTAACTGTTGCATATGTGTCTTACCTAACAACCAAGAGCCTAGTTGACCAAGTGGTCCATTGTAACTTGACAATGGTCCACATCAATGTCAATTACATATCAACATCATAAATTGCCCATTTTTATAAGTATGCAATATTTGTCAATTAATCTAGTCACGAGGAAATAAAGTTTATTTTTCTATATACTAATCAGTATAGATAAAATTATCATATGTTTGAAAAACAGACGCAAGTAACTCATAAGACATGTATTAGGGCTAGGTTTCAAGTATCAAGAGCTGAGTCAAGCAAGCTGTAGCCATTTATGCCTCCTTAGTTACTCATGTCCATGTTTCTACCATGTTTCTTACACTATGCAAAAATGCAATGCACATAAAGGGCCTGAAGATCTGGAACTCTTTGCCCGAAACAGCAAGAGGTCCCCTACCCACAAATCAATTTAGGACTATACTCAAAAATCAT